TTAGTATCGTCTATCTGATCAATACAATTACCCACTCTTGGGATAGGATAGGAACTAAGCTGTAGTTACATGATTTACTTTTCGGTATCATATACACTACTTCTCTCCTCACTATCTCTCGCAATTTAGAATTCACTCTATACGGGTGTTGCTTAATTAGTGTTGTGTCTGTGGGGAGGCTTGAGGCCCCAATGATCTGGTGAGCCGGACCAGAGGGCTATCCATACTGGAGGGGTCACCAATGAGGAATGAGACAAAATGGCTTCCTGGTGCACCAAGGACTAGGAGAGAGGATGGTACAACCACCCCTGGTTCATTCCATCTTGGACCAGGGAGAACTCTCCCATGTGTATTTGCCATGTGTGGCATCCTGTATTACCAGGAGACAGAAGTTCTTGAGGTTCAGCGATGCTGCATGCTGTGCCCTGCAGCTAGCAACACAGCTCTTTGGTCCTCTATTCCGGTTAGATGGGTGGCTTGATCAAGGCCTGGTCAAGTAAATTGGCTGGTCAAATTTGGCTAGAGTCAAGCAGGCACTGTCCAGTCAGTAGTGCATAGGTCCTGTGACTACCATCAGCACTGTAATAGTAACTGCGTGGCTGTTGGGAGATTTTGAGTCCCAACTATAGCTTCCCCTCGTTGATGGGTGACTGGGGGTGGGGGGGATGAAGATTTATAATTTGTATTTCTTAAAATTTACAAAAACTTTCCTTTGCAATCCACTGGCCAATCCTTCTGGAACATCACATGTCACTCTGGAACCTTCCCAAAGGGCAAGAATGGGAATCGTAATGGTTCCCGAGCTTCCAACCCAGGTAAGGAGAAAAGTCCTCCTCAATCCATCAAGGAAATCTTACCTGTTAAATATGAAAGCATATCATATAGTTAATATCTAGTAGTGAAAACCATTGATATTGATATTTTTGAAGTATATCAGAGGATAGTTGAGGTGTGTCAACATGATCCTCATATCACGCCACAGCGAGAGGGTAGCCTGATAATTGAAGTTTCATCACCAGATGATAGTGACCGTCTGTGTGCGATATGCGACATTCCTGGGGCTCAAGTCTCATGACACTGCAAGTGAAGGCTGTGAGAATAGGCTTGACACGACCTTACACTGTTGCACCCATCTACCTCCCTCCACATTATCTCAACATAGATGATTTGGAAGATCTACTTAGGCAGTTGCCTCATCCATTTCTATTCTTGGGAGACTTCAATAGCCTGCATTGTCTCTGGGGAGACACTTTATGTAACCTGGAATCTTCTTAGACCAACTACAGTATTTCAAAGATCTTTGAATTATTTCCAGTTTGTTCAAGATACTGTTAATCACTTCACATCACGAATTTACTTTGCAGCAGAAGCATCCATTCCCAATAGTGGACAACTGTCAGAGCAAGAAAAGCTGTTTTAAGGCAGAAATGTAACCTTGATCCATTGTAAAAAGACCAAAGCCAAGGCCAGGCAAGTGCTAAAGGAGGCTAGACAGAGGTCGTGGAGACAGTATGTATCCTCAGTTAACTCTGGGACCCCCTTAGCATGGATATGGGCCAAGGTACGGAAGATTGCTGGAAAGAGGACATCCATGTCACCACCTGCTCTGAAGATTGATGCCATAATCCTCACAGAAAAAAAAAAAATGTTGCAAATGAGCTAGTTAAATCCATGGCAGAGATCTCCTCTGGAGAATCTTACACTGCCTGATTCTCCACTCTTCGGGCTGAACAGGAACGACACCCAGTATTGTTCCTCAGTGGGACTGCTGCAGAACTTTCATACAACTTGCCAATTTTGCACAAGAAGATGAACTCTACTTTGCAGCTGTGCCGTTGGACTGCCCCTGGAAGTGACGATTTTCCGTATCAAATGATATCTCACTTACCAGAGTGTTCCCAAAAGATTCTATTGACCCTATTTAATAGGAGGGCACAGTGCCATCCACATGGAAAGAGGTTATAATCATTCCTGTCCCTAAACCTGGCATGGATGTGTCCATACCAGGGAATTACAGACCAATTTCTCTCACCAGTTGTATCTACAAGCTGTTGGAGAAAATGGTAAACTTCAGGTTGACATGGCTGCTAGAAAAGGAAAACGTGCTAACCCCATATCAATATGGGTTTAGAAAATTGAGACTTGCGAGGATAGAAACTGCTATACAGAATTCCTTCGCAAAGCGACGTCGCATGTTAGCAGTCTTCTTTGTCCTTGGAAAGGCTTATGATACCACTTGGAAACATGACATACTCATGAAGATGCATGACATGGAGCATTACCTACCTTCATACAAAGCTTCCTTGCTGACAAGAAGTTTAGATCGGCTGGAAGGTGTTCCACATGGGAATGTCTTAAGCGTAACCCTGTTTGCCATTGCTATAAATGACGTAAAGGTCATTCCAAGTGCTGTCTCATGTAATCTGCATGTGGATGACTTTACACTGTACTGCTCAGTGAGGCACATGGGTGCCTGATATCAAACAATTAAAGGTGAAAACTACAAAAGCGCCTAGTATTATGCAGGTTTTTTCACACCTATCTTGGGGTGCAGACCGCACAATGCCTCTGTGGCTTTACCGAGCGCTTATTCATAGTACACTTGGCTGTGGATGTGAGGTTTTTTCATCTGCAACTCCCATTGTTTTCCGGATTTTGGACTCATAATAAAGCTCTCAGAATCTGTAAAGGGGCTTTCAGGTCTTCACCTGTGGAGTCACTGTATGCTGATTGGAAAACCACCTCTTTCATTACAGTGCGACTTCATGAACCTGATTTACTACACGAGACTACAAAGGATTCCGGGATCTCCTACATCCAGATTGGTTTTCAACCCCTTTTGATTATAGCTGATCCTATGGTAGGAGAATGAGGAATCTTATGAAAGATCTTAATTTAAATCTCACTAAGGTACTGGCTTGTGGAACTCCACAATTCCCGCCTTGGACCAGTCAAGTCGAGCTGGATTTGGTCAGAATTGGGAAAGGGGAGACATCCGAAGCAGTCAGAGAGACATTTCTTCAACACACTTCTAAGTACCAAGGATGCAATATATACAATGGCTCAAAATCTGAAAATGGTGTGAGCTTTGCAGAAGTGAGCAGAAGGAAGACTTCATTTGGCAGTCTTTCTCTAGTTGCCTCGATTTTCACTGCAGAGTTATATACCATCCTTGCAGCAGTCAAGACGACTAGATATCTTACAAACCATTCTATTATAAGATATTGTGACTCTCGTAGTGCCTTGTAAGCAATCAAGAGCTTAAGCTCCTCATATCCAGTGGTGAGGGAGGTTCAAGATTGGCTTGCACTGATGTCAGCACATAAAAAGACAACTTTTGTTGGGTGCCAGTGCATGTTGGTATCAGTGGGAATAAGCGAGCTGATCGGAAGGCCAAGGCAGCTGCCGCTCAGCCCTGTGACGCTCGTTTCCCTCTCCCACATACTGACTTGAAACCCAGCATCAGGAGTTGTTTTCACAATAAATGGAGGGAACAATGGAGGCATACCTCTAGAAACAAACTGCGAGAGATTAGAGATGACCTTGGCAGTTGCTTGACCAGCATCCATCCCAATCGACAAATAGAAGCTGTATTAACAAGGCTGAGAATCGGGCACACAAAACTGACTCATGGGCCAATGATGGCTAAAAGTGAAGCACGCTGTGAGGAATGCCAAGAGCCATTAACAGTCGCACATGCGGTGGAAAGATGTGCAACATTCTCAGACCAAAGACGTATGTAATTGCCCCCCCATATACACTGAAAAGTGTATTGGAGGAGGATTGTGACATGGGTCTTCTAAGTTTCCTTAACGAGACTAATATTTTCATTATTATTTATACTTTGATTTTTAATATAATATTTATTGTTAATTACAAGACATTTATTGATAGGTTTTTAACGTTTTAAATATTTTAACATTCCAATACAATAATGTGTTCGCCGCTAATGACCTTAGCTGTTGATGCGGCAGATAATGTTGAATAATCAATCAATCCCAACGATATGAAACTGGAAAAACACCGGGCCTCTACTTCCTCATTAATACTTCACCATGTACATAAAATCTAATTGTTATGTCATTCTCACCACCATGTCTCCTTGCTTCACTCCAACATCCCTTCAAACTCTCATCACCCAGCTGTAGTCTTACCAATCCCTTTTCTCAACAACAAAAATTCTGGTAATATATCCCATTTCATTTTTACAGTGTCTTGTTCACCCTTCCTTAGTTCTACTGTATTATCATCAGTCACTAACTCTTTCTCAATTAAATTCCCTACTCCTCCTTCATTAGGCTCTGCTCCTCTCTTTGACATCTCTCTGGTCAGGACACAGGCAGGGTATATATCCTCATTGTTTGTCTCTCTGTTAAATTTACACTCACTTGAGTCAATCATTACAGTTCCATCACTCTTGACGACATGGCTTACATCTCCAGAAGCCTCTTCTCCAAGTGGGTTTTCACACATAATGGGACCATAATATCTACAGTTAAATAGCTCCCTAACAGCAACTGTTCTCCTGGTACTAGAAGTTCATGACTTACTCCTACCTCAACATTACCATTCATAACTCCACTCACAAACCCACTCACATTATGCAATGGGACAGTCATGCCTAATCCTCTTTTATGCATACATCCCTCCAGAGTAAGACTCTTTAGGCCATTCTAATAATCCTTTTAAAATGAAGCTTTGATCTGACCTACTTTCTCTTAGATATAGCATTTTCTTCTCTGGATTGCTTTTAAGACTAACCCTTCCTTCACATATAAATGGTTCAAAATCCACAGGTTTCTGTTTGCTTACACTATAGTTGGCATCCCTGATGACACACATATGCTAGGATTTTCTTCTACCCATTCTTAACCCCACAAACTTTTGGATTCTCAGGCACTGACATGACCTATTTCTCCACATGCAAAACGTTTCACTGGTGGTCTCTCCTGTCTGTTAAAATGCTGGTTGTAATTTAGCTAAGATCTGGAACGCTGACT